TTTAGGGATTTAATCAAAATCTGAATTTTAATTTCAGATTTAATTAAATTAGAAGGAAATTGATTTGAAATTTTGAATTTCAAATCAAAGGCATTAATGCATTGAATGATGGAGTTAAGGAGGGAGCCAAAGGGGGGGGGGGTTTAATTTCAAATGGGGAGGGGAAATTAATGTAGCAATCAATGACGGGGAAGCCTCATAGGGTCGGCAGGTTCAAAAGGGGGAGAGGAGGAGGTGGGTGCGATTTATGAGCCTTCCAAATTAGTACATCCGCATTAGGACGTTTGGTTATGAGGTCCAATTCAATTTGAATTTCAAATTGACTTGGATTTGAAAACTTTCCTAATTTGGCTTTTGACAAATTTGGAAATTTTTGAAACTCAATCAATTTTGAATTTCAAAATTTGAACAAGTGGGGAAATAGGGGAAGGGGCCGGCGGTTGGGGTTGTGGAAGAGGTGGTGGAGGAGGGGTGGCCGACAGCCAAGGGGAATGCCGGCGGGTTGGCTCCCTTTGGTGTTATGCGGGATCAAGTTGGGGCTCGGATTGAGGATAACAGGATGGGGATTTGGGTTAAGTGAGGATGAGGGGTAAACAAAAATAAGATAGAAAAAACTTAACCACGAGCCGCGGATTCTTCCAACGACTGGTGGGCCTTGCAAATGCTCCCTCTGAGCTCTCTCCCTTCTCTAGCTCTCATGCAAGAAGAAGAATAAACAAAACACAATTTTCATTCAAAATATTCATTAACCCAATACAACATATGATACCACTGTATATAGGTCTCCACTCATGAAAAGAAAAGTATGAAATTTTCCTATGGGCTACAATAACAAAAAAACTCCCCATAGGGGTAAAAACAAAAAACAGTAAAAAAATAAATAATACATCATGAAATCTGAATCAAAAGTAGAGACGCTGAATCGTGGCCGTCGATCTGTGATTCCGTCGTCGATAAACATGTTGGTAGCGTTTGTCGATATCCTCATCATTCTCCCCAGGTGGGAGAAAACTCGACCCTGTCGAGTGAGTGTCCCTAGAGCTCTCGTACCACTATAGGAGGTCAGGATCCATACGCTACAGCTCCTATCGATCAACCCACGTATCGTCTGTCGCCAGGGTCCCTTTCCAGTGAACTAAGTACCTTTGACATCCACCTCCTTTCATGGTAATGATCTCATCATCTAATATGGCTTCAACTTTCTCCGCATTGGGTGATTGAGGTAAATTTGGGAGTGAGGGTAGGCTTGGGATCTCACCAAGTGGGGTCGCACAAGGCTCATTTGTAAGTGGATTGTTTGGGTTGAATTCGGGTCCCTCGAAGGTTACTAGGTCTTTTATGTTAAATGTGGGATTAATGTTAAAACCTTGGGGAAGGTCTAGCACGTAAGCATTGTTATTTACCTTTGAAATTATCTTGAACGGTCCGACGCTTCTCACATGCAACTTCTTTGTGGATCCTAGAGGAAAATGCTCCGGACGGATTCGCACCATCACAAAGTCTCCAACTTCAAATTCTTTAGCTCTTCTTTTCTCATCAGCAATAAATTTATAATTTGCATTACTTTGTTCAATTTTCTTTTTAACTTCTTTGTGTAACTCCTGTAGATGCGATGCAAATGATGATGCTGACTTAGATGTTCTGACTCTAGTGCTCATGGGAATCAAATCAATGGGTCGTTTGTGTAAGTATATGTACACTATTTCAGCAGTGCTTAGACCCATAGTTCAGTTCAAAGAGTTGTTGTAGGCAAATTCGGCTATAGGCAGCTTAGAGTCCCAGTCCCGAATGTTTTCTCCTACCAAGGTCCTTAAAAGATTTCCTACTCCTATTCACCACTTCAATATACCGTCTGTTTGGGGGTGAAAGACAGTAAAGAATTGAAGTTTGGTCCCCATTTTGTGCCACAACGTCTTCCAAAAATAACTTGTAAATTTTACGTCTCAGTCCAACACAATAGTTTTAGGCAACCCGTGAAGTCTCACAATTTCATCAAAATACAGCTTGGCTACTCTAGAAGCATCAAAAGTTTTGAAGCACGGGAGAAAATGGGCCATCTTAGAAAATCTATCTACAACTACACAGACTGTGTCATGCTTCCTAATGGTCTTGGGTAACCCTAAGACAAAGTCCATGCTAACATCCTGCCAAGGTTGGTTAGGCACGGGGAGAGGTGTGTAAAGGTCGGTGTTTTGTTTCCTTTGTTTGTCCAATTGACATGTGTGACATCGCTTTACTAATCTGCTAACATCCCTTTTAAGACTCGGCCAATAAAATTGATTTTCAACAACGACTATTGTTTTGGCTTGTCCGAAGTGACCCGCTAAACCTTCAGCATGTAATTCCCAAACAAGAAATTCTCGAAGTGACGTTTTAGGAATACAGAGTTTTTAGGATTTAAATAAATATCCATCTTCCAACATAAAATCTCCTATGATCCGTTCATCTCCAGGATAATGGGATGGGGATTTGGGTTAAGTGAGGATGAGAGGAAAACCCAAATAAGATAGAAAAAACTTAACCACGAGCCGCGAACTCTTCCAATGACTGGTGGGCCTTGCAAATGCTCCCTCTGAGCTCTCTCCCTTCTCTAGCTCTCATGCAAGAAAAAGAAGAAACAAAACACAATTTTCATTCAAAATATTCATTAACCCAATACAACATATGAGGCCACTATATATAGGTCTCCACTCATAAAAAGAAAAGTACGAAATTGCCCTCTGGGCTACAATAATAAAACAACTCCCCATAGGGGTAAAAACGGAAAGCAGTAAATAACTAAATAATACATCATAAAATTTGAATCAAAAGTAGAGGCGCTGAATCGTGGCCATCGATCTGCGATTCCGTTGTCGATAAACATGTCGGCAGCGTCTGTCGATGTCCTCATCAGGTTGTTCATTATCAATAAAACTAACAATTTGATATAGGATCCGGTTAATACTGATGTGTTGAACAATTTAATTAATTATCTGATTTAGCACATGTAATTATTAATTATTGCCAAAATCAACAAAGATAATTATTTTCCTTGTTTATAATATATGAATAATTGTCATAGAAGGTTCTATCATACAACAAATGGATTAAATCTCCTAAAAAATTTATCTATGAGAACCTTGGCTCTATATGTGAACAAACCAGTATAATGTGTCTCTACAGATATAATTAAAATAAATATTTGCATGCATAGCAAAACAAATAAAATAAGTCTATCTCAAAAGAAAGTAAAAAATAATAAATTCTAACTTTGATTGATTATTAATAAAATCTTCAACAACCATGTTGGAAATTATTTTAACGATGTTTTATAAAAAAGTGTTTAGATCTTTATTGAAATAATTTTCAAGTAAGGCAATGGAGATTAATAATCACTCTCCCAAATTAATTTCTCAAAAACAACAGCACTCTGTAGTGGAAGACGACCTGCCAAGATTTCTTTTTTTATTATGAGAAAAATTATACATGTAAAAATGAAAATACAAACAAATGTAAATTAGAAGCTTGTAAAACAACATTTCGTTTGTCTCATGCCATTAAAAAAATCAAACCATTCTATTGCTTAGCACATCTTTGAACCAGATGATTCACAAGTGGAAGTAAATGAAAGAATGCAGAAGATAGATGCAACAGAAATGAGTTGCCAAAGATGTACCAGAATGTCCATTAGTGCCATGCAATGTTGAAGGAGAACATGATACTGGCGAAGATTATGCATGAGCTTCTTCACCTGCGAAGTAAGTTCAATAAAACTAAGAAATTGTCAGTCTGAATAAACATATCAGGAGTCAGTGATATATAAATTTTCTACCTGAAGTTCTTGAAATAAGCATGATGGAGGTATGAGACATCACAAATACAGTGCATCTCTCTCCTTCACAGTGAAGGCAAACCTTTTATTGTGGTGTGGATCTCTTAACAATGAGTATCTGTTAATCATATTAATAAAAGAATCATAAATCATAGACATAACAAAATAGTATATTTAGTTTAATTTTCCACTGGGAAGAATAATAGCTAGATAACAGTCATAGCAAATGGAAGAAAAACATAAAATTTCCTTTGGAGAAAAAGAAAACAAGCAAGTCATATCTTCCATATGTTTACTCAACAAGCAAAATATTCAAATTTTACTCGTTCAAAATTTGTAATGCTCGTTTTCTGATATATATACATAAGAAATGCAGCATGAACCTATTTAGCCACAATATTTCATTTCCTTCAAAAGATTAAAATCAAACAACAAATAGAAGATGAAAATTGAATTGTCTCTTATTGCTGAGCTAATAATAAATTAAACAGATAACAACAATAGTGATTTGTTTGATCCTCAATGACTTTTGTAGACCTTCAAACTCGAAATATCCATGATCGTTAGGAAATATACATGATCAAAAATAGGTCGGTAAGGATGTCGGCGGGCTTCGGATCGCGCAAGAGAGGGGGAGGCGGAGGGCCTTCGTTCCGTCTGGGGCGTGTAGAATGAGAGGGAGGAGAGCGCGGTAAAGTGAGAGTAGCGGTAGAAAGTAGGAAGGTTAGGAAGGAAAGGAGGAGGAAAGGAAGAAAAGGAAGAAGCAAGAAGAAGAAATGTTTAGAAGTTATCTGTGCGTGGGAGAGGGCCGGCACCAGGGCGGGTTTCGGGTCGCGCGAGAGAGGTGGAGGCGAGGGCTTCGTTATGTAAACGCCAACCTGAAGATTTATTCAGCGCTTAATTGTCCGGATGCGATGATATGAATAGCAAAAAAAAATTGGAGGGAGAAGATTTATCTAGCCGTTTGGAACGTACGATCAAGATATGAGGAGATTTATAAGTCACATTTATAATAGTAATATATACTTATGTAGCCTAAAAATAGCCTTTTTTTCGTTAAGTCCTAAAAATACGGATGGCAACGATAAAAACACGGATGTCAAATTGGCAACGACCGGTGGTCCTCTCTCACGATTGTATATTTAAATCGGGCACCCTATCGTTGTCCTCTATTGTTTTCCAATCCGAAGAACTCCAACGGTCACAATTATCTTCCCGCCTTCGTCAACATGTATGGCTCTCCGGCAAACTTCCGGCCTCGAGGCGGCCGAGGCCCTCCAATTGGTTCTGTGACAGATCTTTTACCGAAAAATCTTAACTCGTCGTACGCCTCATCTTCGAACTCTCCCTATTGGCAGAGGGTAAATTCTAATTTCCAAAACCCTAGGTTCTATTCTCCTCAATTCCCAAAAAACGAGAACTACATAGATCAGTCCCAGCACTTCTCCATAGAAGAGGTTGAATCAGCAGTTATTAAAGCTCATAAGGACCTCCTAGAGGCAGGAGAGAATGCATCAGTGTGGAAGATCTCCCAATCCGTAGCTCGCTCTTTGAAAGTGAGCTCTTGGGAGGCTCTAGGGTTTAGGACAGTTGATGCACCCACTCTTCGTAATCTCCAACCAGTAGAAGGAAAGGTATTTTCTTTCTTCTTACCGTCTATTTTACCTCTGGACTATTGATTGCTTAAAGTTGGTGTCTTTTTTTTTTTGTTGCTCCTTCCAACTAGGTGAATGCATTCATCCACTGCTTTGTGCATACTCGAAAAATGACTTCGATATATGAACTGGGATTGAGTATTTGCAAGAATGAAGGGGTTGACAAGTTTGATGAGCTAAGGCTTGGGCCTCTACTACAACATCCCTTAGTTCGAGACTACTTTTCAGTGTCTCCTGATGCACAGGAAATCTGTGAGATCACAACTGAGGGATTAGTCAGCCACCTCTTTGAATTCCATTATGAAAAGAGAAACGAGAAAATCAAGTTGGACGAGTTCTTTGATTTTCTGGTGCTAAAGTGCTCAGTTGCTTCAAGGGGGCATCTAGGTGTTCGGATTCGGAGCATGGGGTTTGTAGTGTTTGAAATATCAAAAGTTTTCTTGTTTCGGCAACACCATTATTGTAATATTTATTTTTGAAATCCATATGCAGATTGTTTATCAAGTACATTAAGGCAGGGAGAAGAGCAAAAAAAGTTGTTGTTAAATTTATTAAAGAAAGAGAATTGCCAAAGGAAGAGCCAGAAATGCCATCACAATTAATTCCAGGTCATCTTAAGTTAACTTCTCTCATAGATGATGAAAGCGGTGACCACTGTGAGCAATTTGTTCCCCTAGATGATGTTGACTATGCTGACAATTCTATCAATAGAGAAGCCAGGAAACAGGAGCCATCTGATTATAACAACGAGTCACATTTTAACGATGCAAATTTGAGTGAAAAAGAGCTACATATGGTTACTCAGTTGGGTGATGATGAAGTCATAATTGGGAATGAAAAGAAACCGATTAGACAAGATGCTGCTGAGGTGACAAGTTTTGAGGAAAATTCTACCGGGTTAACAAAAATATTCAAGATAGAACCTTCAACTGAGAGAAAATTAGCTTCAGATGATGATAATTGCTCTAAAGAAGTGGAGCAAGGTAAGCCTTTGTGCTTCAACTGTCGTTTAATAGATTCATATCAAAATTCTTGATCAAATTAACTTCAAATTCTGGTGGTCTTGCAAGTATATTTCTCCACAAGAAACTCTTAATTTGATATTTATATAACACTTATTATTGCTTTGATGTTCTGATGTTAATTTATTATTTGATACTTTGAGTAATTTGTTACTTCTTACCATATTATGATGTTAATGTGTTAATATGTTAAGATGTCAATTACTTATTCTTTGATGTGTGTAAAAATTTTTTAGTTTGCATAATTTTTTGATTCTAACGCTTACACCTCAAAATGCTTCTAGGTTTACAACTCATCTTACGGATAATAATGCCTCAATACCTAATTGCATAATTTTAAATCTTGGTATAGAGTGGTAGGCAATATATTTGTAGAGGTTATTTAGAGAAAATAATCTTTAAATCTCAACATGACTAAGATCAAGTTAAGCCTTGGTTGGACCTCAACTTGGATATTTTGATCTAGTTCAAACTACTAGCACATGACCAAATTCTTCTGCTCTGTACCTTCTAATTAGATTAAATTGTAATGGATTTTTATATTCAAGGCTCGTGGAGGCTTTGTGCATCTTAAAAAAAAATTTATGCTTGAACTGATGGTAATATTTTTGCCTTCTTCGCTTAGCTACTTTTGTGCTTATATCATAATCTCATTCTCAGGTGCTCCTGTTAGCGTCGAAGATATTATTAAGCAGATATGCAACTTTATTGAACCTGATCTCATACTTAGTGGAAGAGGTATACCGCTAGAAAAGCAACTGGTTTTGCGTGCTTGTGAGATGTGGTTGAGGTTGCAATTTTCTGTGAAAGAATTCCAATGCCTTAATCATGGGAATTTCTTTGAGTTTGTAGACAAGTATGCATCTCATCTTCCCCATGACAAACGTTATCTTTTGGCCCGAGACATTTCCAAAAAGTCTGTCTGTGAAATTTCTATGCATCAAAAGCAGTTTTTAGGCTTACTACTTCAAGCAGTGGGAAACATGGACAAGGAGATTGTTATAAGTCAAGAGGATATTTTCAAACTTCTCAGAAAACAATTTCCATTAATTGGTTTAATGGTAACAATAAATGACTTTGACGAGATGCTTTCTGATTTAATTAACTACAAAGAAAAATTTATTGCCTCCTCGGCAGTTTTTTCTGCTACCTTGTTGGGGAACTTCTGCAGGGGAAGTTTATTTTCCCAAAGTGAAAAGTTTGAAGAATCATATGGTGTGGTTACAGAAAGGGATATACCATTTGGTTCACTTGGACCTGTATCTGCAAAAGATGCAATTGAGTGCTTACTCAAGGCGCCCATGCTATCAGAGCTGCAATCTTGGTCACATTGGGATCATGTGTTTGCTCCAACACTTGGTCCTCTTTGGAAATGGTTACTTAATCAAGGGTCTATTGAGGAATTTTCATGTATTATAACAAGTGATGGAAGGATCATCAGAATTGATCATTTAGCCACTCCTGATGAATTTTTGGAAGCTTCAATTCGAGGTTCATCATTTCAAGCAGCGTTGAAGTTGTTGTCTTTGCTTCAGATCTATGGGGGTTCATGCAAAGCTCCTGTTTCACTGTTAAAATGTTATTTCCAACAAGCTGTTGTTGTTGTAACAAAAAAATTTGCTGATCATATAGAAGCTTCTGCGAACTCCAGCCAAACTATTCCACTTCAGAGATCTTTCTTTACACAACAAAGTAGAAGTGTTACAAAAAATGACTGGAGCATTTTGCCCAATAATCCTAACAAAATGTCAGAAATTGGAGGAGGTAGTAGTGATATCTCACAGATAAGTAAAGCCTATTCGTACATATCTGTATTTATCCTCGATTGTCTTGGCCATTTACCTTCAGAATTTCATAGTTTTGCAGCAGACATTTTGGTATCAGGCATGCAGTTTTCCTCCAAAAATGCTGTCACAATCATTCTAAATGAATGCAGACATGTCCATGAGCGCATAATGCTTCATGAAATTGGATTGTCCCTTGGAATAATGGAATGGATCAATGATTACAAGGATTTTTCTTCAAAAGTTCCTGCTCGCATGTCTGAACCACTTGGAACTCAAGGAAGGGGGTCTGAAGAATGGGCCATTCCTGAACTTAGTAATTATCTGCCTGATTTCTTTGAAACAATATTGTCTTCAGACGGGGAAGCACAAATGAATATAGAAACACCACTTCCAATGTCAGGTCTACCGCAAGCAGCAGTTTGTGAAAGTTTTTGCAAGGAATTGAGCACTGAGTTGATGTATACCTCTACACAGCTCGAAAATAAAGATTTTCAATTCCGGGATGCAGCTGCTCTTATTGAACAAATTCGAAGGGAGGAATTTGGTTTGGATCTAGATACTGCAGATACTGACTTACTAAAGAAGCAACATGCTCGTTTAGGAAGAGCACTCAATTGTCTTTCACAAGAGTTGTATTCACAGGATTCACATTTTATCCTAGAGCTGGTGAGTGAGGATGGCACATTTGGCAACTATTTCTATGGAAAGTTATAAATTTTTCTGTCATAATATTGCAAGGAGACATCTACACTTTATTGGCTTCTAACTTGTTGGGTTTTCTAAGTTTTTATTTCAATGAACTTATTCTTTTTTTTTTTAATATCCAGATACAAAATGCTGATGATAATAGCTATCCAGAAAACGTGGAGCCTACGCTGGTCTTCATTCTTCAGGAAAATGGAGTTATTGTTTTAAACAATGAGGTGGGGTTTTCTGCTCAGAATATGAGGGCACTTTGTGATGTTGGAAATTCAACAAAGAAGGGATCAAGTGGTGGCTACATTGGGCAGAAGGGTATTGGCTTCAAATCAGTTTTCCGGGTAAGCCTAAACGCATCTAAACTGTAATTTTTAAACATATAAACATGCTCCATATAGCAAAACAAGGTGATGACCTGATTCAGATGTTATTATATCAATGAACTTGATATTTTTCAGGTAACAGATGCTCCAGAAATTCACTCCAATGGTTTTCATGTCAAGTTTGATATTAATGATGGCCAGATTGGTTTTGTCCTACCAACTATAATACCCCCATGCGATATTGACTTTTTTAGAAGGCAAGTGATATGTGATTCTGACCAACCACATGCCACCTTCTGGAACAGTTGCATTGTGCTTCCATTCAAATCAGAGCTTAAAAGAGGCAAGGGTATGAGTCCGATTCCCTCAATGTTTTCAGATATTCATCCTCACTTGTTACTTTTTCTTCGGCATCTTAAGTGTATCAGATATAAGAATATGATATCCAATGAGTTAGTTGTCTTCAGAAGGGGAAGTGATGAAAATGGCATAGCTACGGTTTCTATTGGAAAGAATAAAATGAATTGGTTGTTGGTTAACCAAAATCTAAAACCAACTTTGATCCGTCCTGAGGTTCAAACTACAAAGATCACATTAGCTTTCCCACTTGAAGAGTCAGAAATTTCAAAATATAAAGCGCAGCTTGATCAACAACATGTTTTTGCTTTTCTTCCTTTAAGAAAATATGGCCTTAAATTCATTCTGCAAGGTGATTTTATATTGCCTTCTTCTAGGGAAGAAGTTGATGGAAATAGTGCTTGGAACCAGTACTTGTTATCAAGGATACCAGAACTTTTTGTCTCTGCAGAGGAGTCATTCTGCTCACTTCCTTGCTTTCAGAAGAATCTGGGGAAAGCAGTTACAACTTTCATGAGTTTTGTTCCTTTGATGGGTGAAGTTCATGGTTTTTTCTCAGATCTTCCACGAATGATTTCAAAAGAACTTCGCAAGTCAAAATGCTTACTTTTGGATGGATTTAGTGTTGAGTGGGTTCCTCCTTGTAGAGTACTTCGAAATTGTGATGAGCAGCTTCGAAACTTTTTGTCGAATAGTTTGCTTCAACAGCATTTAGGTCTTAGTTACTTGCATAGGGACATATTCTTGCATGATTCATTGGCTAAAGAATTGGGTATTCAAGAATATGGACCTGAATTTTTAGTTGAACTCCAATCCTCTGCATGTCGTTCAGGTGGGACTAGTTTATTGAACATAGAGTGGTTGTCTTGTTGGCTTAATGCTCTTTGTATTTCCATTTCATCTAATGCTTCCAAGAATTTAGCATCAGCAAATACTGAAATGGAATTCAGCCTTGTCAAAAAATTAAAAGGCCTTTCATTTATTCCACTATCTGATGATTCATTTGTCTCAGTAGCAGAAGGGCCAGTTTGGTTGCCCTTTGATGTTTCCACTTTGAAACATGAAAGTGGAAATGTTCTAAAGCAACTTCCTGGTCTTTATTCCAACCTGAGGATTGTAAATCCCCTCCTATTTTCTACAAAATTTTCAGAGGGTAGCAATTTTGAGGAGAATGTAGTGAGCAATATTATCCGAATCCTGTTGAAAATCGGTGTGCGGCAATTGTCTTCACATGATGTTATCAGAAATCATATTTTGCCATCTATTTCTTATGGAAGAATTTCCGGTGTGTCCACAAACTTGATGACTGAGTACCTCTTTTATATAATGACACATCTTCAATCTGCCTGCTCCAGTTGTGATACAGAAAGAAGAGACATCATCTCTGAGCTACAGAGACAGTCAATTATATCAACAAATCATGGTTACATATGCCCTACTGAAAAGCCGATCCATTTCAGCAAAGAATTTGGCAATCCTTGTGACATGAAAGAATTGATAGATGATATCGATATTGAGTGGAATGAATTAGACAACTGCTACTTGCAACATCCCAGCACCCAGTCATTATCTAATGGGTTGAACAAGTGGAGAGAATTTTTAATGGAATTAGGTATCACTGATTTTTTGCAAGTAAGACGAGTAGAAAAAAGTTTAAAAGAGGTTTTAGACATGGATTCTAAAAGCATGCCAGTTTATGGTGATGCTATTGATGGTGAAACAATCATTGAAGATTGGGAGTCACCTGAGTTAACCAATTTACTATCTGCACTTTCAACAAAGAAACATTTGGATAAGTTTAAATATCTGCTGGAAGTTTTTGATAAAATGTGGGATGATTTTTATATCTTGAAATCTACATGTCATAATCCTTTTCAATGTGGAGTGCAATTGAAGAACTTTGAGTCCTCATTCATGAGATGTATACGTAAATTTAAATGGGTAGCTTCTAGCATTGATAATGAACTTCACTGCCCTGAAGATCTTTTCTATAATTGCAAGGCAGTTCAATCTATTCTGGGAACTGCTGCTCCATATGCTGTTCCAAAGGTTAGTGCATTTTTCCTAAGTTCTTGGAATGATTATATTCATAAATTTTTTGTTAAGTACTGCATTACCATTTTTATATGCCATGTATGATTTATCGAACAGGAGAAAAAATCCTAAACAATAATGTTTTATGCTTGTTTAAGGATGGTATAATTAAAAATACTCATTAAATTTAGTTTAATTATATCTATAATATGAATTAACATAATAAGCTAGTATTCAGTGATTATGATGGCAACTTAGATTAGTTATGTCTTAAATAAATTTAATTAGGATACTTAATACTTAAATGGGATTAGTTATATACAATAATTTTGTTTCTGTTTTTGGTTGCCAAAATATTTTTTTATTTTTGTTTCTTTAAATATAACATAAGTAAAACATTCAGGCAGATTTTTTAAGCAATAACAAATAAGCCTACCTGTGCTTATCGTCTTTACTTTAATGGTAAATGATAGTAATTACTGCTCTATCTTGCATCATTGGGAAAAGAAAGCACTTAGCACAATCCATATAAGTATCTAAGTAATTTGATGTATATATATATATATATATATATACACGCACACACACCAGAAAACCTTTAAGATCTTTCTGCACAGACTAAGTTAACTTATAAATAAATTTCTTATTTTTAAAATAACTTGGTCACATCTCAGATTTGGTAAAATATAGTAATCTTTCTTTTGTTCATCAACAAATTTCAGTCTAATCCTTTGTTTTGCTGGACTAGGCTTCGAGCAAAAGATTTGTAAAGGATATTGGATTAAAGGTTCAAGTTACACTTGATGATGCTATCAGAGTGCTACAGCTCTGGAGAACCTCCAAGACTTCTTCCAGGTATTGTTGTTGAACTTTTGGTCGACACTATTTGAGGAATTCTTGGTACCATTAGCCTTCTTTTGGGACAGTTTTTTGCCACTAATTTTTCGTTATTTTTTAAAAGAATTTCTGCTAGAAAGCTGATATAAAAAAATATTAAGCATAATATCCCAAACTAAGCGTTAATATTCCTCATGAAAGTCTGCCCAGATAACACTCTCATACAGTTTGCCGAGGATCTTTCAAAGCTAACCATCACAATATATTTAGTAAGGTTAACTTATTGTGTTAAGGTTTAATGTCAACTATGCTTTCATCACTAAGCCCTCTACTCGTGATATGTAAATAACAGATTGGTAAAACTGTAACGTGTTTAAAGTTTTTGCTTGGTTTATACAAACTTGAAGGAAAGGAAAATAGATATGGAAACATACATACTTGACAAAAAAAACTGATTATGTTTTGCTTGTTCCTTTAATTGTTAGGGAAAACTATAAATAATCTAGATGTTACAATCAGTTTGAAAAAGAGATGGAGGGATCTAAATTCTAGGATTAATTATTCTTTAGTTAAAAAAATAAATCAGAAATAATAAAATCATAATGAAAGAACAAATAAAGAGATGCACAAAAAAGTATATGAGAAAGGGTCTAACCTCATTTGATCAATTACCATCAGCTTTTAGTTTAATTTTGATAGGCATGTGGGATATGTCTCATACAAAATTCGTGATTTTAATCCTCAGAAAAATACAGCATCCAATTACCAGAAAAGTTTTAAGTTTTAAGTTTTATCCTTTAGACTTTTATTTGGCAATTTTGAGATTTCCTCAATGTAGGCCTCTTGGTTCATGTGCTTCGTTTCATCTCTATATCGAAATACCTAGAATTTTATGAATTCTCATTTTCATGTGCTCTCTGGCCTGCAGTGCTAAAAAATTGTTATGAAAGGACACCCTATGTCATTGTAAAAGTGTTGACTGTAGCAAGCTATCTTTTTTTTTTTTCAGCATATTTCAGATGAATCAAATTTACACTTTTGTTCAAGAAGAATTGGCTAAATCAAAGGAAAAGATCACCGATGTGAAATCAGATATTGTCATATTCGTTCCATCAGTATGTAAATCTGAAAACAAGGATGTTGTGTCTGGTACATTTATGCTTCCAGATAAATTATGCTGGCATGATGCAACTGGTTGTGTGGGAAGATTGAGGGAATTAACCCATTCGCATGACCCAGCAAGTGCAACAAAGCTTCCAACATGCTTGACACTGTCCATTCTATATCCAGATCTTTATAATTTTCTTGTGACTATCTGTGGTGTACCTGAAGCACCTTCGTTCTGTGATTACCTTACAATACTGCGTCATTTATCATATGTTGCATTACCTTCAGAGGTTGCTCATGAAGTAAGCATTCCAAAACCATATATTAATTCAAGATGCTAGTTACCAAATGCATAATTTAGATGCACAATTGTGCATGTAGATGTCACGTACTGATGGTGGTTTAAGTTAAGTACTTGGTTTTACTTCTTTTCTTTCATTTCATTTTTCAGGTTTTTCGGGTATTTCTCAAGTGGGCCGATGATTTGAAATCTGGATTATTCAGTTGTGATGAAATAAATGACTTCAAATATTTTCTTTTAAAATCAGAAAACACAGTGCTTCCAACGATGCAGGATACATGGGTTTCCCTTAATCCAACATTCGGTACCGTATGTTGGACTGATGATGACGAAAGAATGGAGCAATTTAAGGATCTCAATGATGTTCATATTTTACAATTTGGTGAACTTACTACCAGTGAGAGGGAAATGCTTTGTGGAAAGGTTTCCATATTTATGCAAAACATAGGTATTCGTGCACTTGCAGAGGTAAAATTTTATATTGTTAATTTTCTTTTCTCCTACTCATTCCAACCAGACCTATGAATTTCCATTCTAACAAAAAATTCTGCTGATACTTCAAAAGTGCACATAGTGCCTTCTTTGAAGACTCCAATTTGAAAATGAGTCTAAAAAATGGAGTTATATAAAAATGTTCTAATTTTTAAATATTGAGTGGCATTTTGTGTCTCAGGTCATATCTCGTGAAGCCATTTCATATGGTATTGCAGACAACAATTATGAAGCTTCTTTAATTAATTGGATTCTTCCCTATGCTCAACGGTACCTACATAAGATGCATCCTGACCTATATTTGCACCTAAAGGAGCTTGAATTTACAAAAACTATCAACCTTCAGGTTTTTGTTGTCGAGAAATTATATTACAAAAATTCTGTTAAAGGACGTGATAGTTCAAATGCAAAACGGTTTGAATGTAACTGTCTTCTAGAGGTACGTGATATTAGATAAATGTTGTAAATCATTTATTTCTCCTGTTCTTCATCGATTCTTGCAAATTATTTTTAATGATGTTGATTTTTCCCTTTGTCAGTGCAAAAATTAGTTTCTTCCACTGATTATGAGTACTACTGCTCTTCAATTCATATTCCTGCATAATGTTTTGGCATTTTTTCAATATAATGGTATCATTGTTCTTGCAGCCAATAATCGATCAACCCAAATTATAAGAGATATTTATGGAATTATCCTTAGGGCTATATAATGGCAGGGATGTTGGAGATAAATCGGATAGACGTACAATAATAAAGTTTAGAAACACTTGTAGAGAAAAAAAAGTTATTGTACTTAGTGTTAAGCCAATGACATTTGATGGATATCTTAATTAGGGTTGTAGTACTTAATCACAATAAATCTTAGTTATTGATGAAAACTAATGCCTTCAAATCTCGTTCTGCAATATTATAACGTGTATAGCTAAATAAGAGTGAAATATAAAGTGGGTTTCTTTAGTACCAATTACCAATGCTTACTACAATATGATTGATAGCCCTTCATAAAAACCTTCAAAAATCACCATTGCTTGCTCCTAAGGCAAGCTTGTATAGGGCTTGTTTGACCTATTAAGTTAATGTTCAAGGCCGGAGCAGTGATTCTCTTTTGATCAATTCACAAACCCTGATTTTTGTCATGTTTGTTCTAATTTATTGCTGAACTTCTATTCAATTGTCATTTGCTTAATCGCCTGGAACTCATTTAACAAGAAACTTGCCTCTTGAAACTTAAAATTTTATTTTTATCATTATTAAAATCTGTATTCTAAGATTTTCAGTATTGAGCGAACAGAACATGGCATGTTTGTTGCTAGAAAAGGCAAGGAAGCAACGTTTTTTTTTTAAACCAACACTTGATCAATAAAACTTCCAGCTTTTATTAGTTCGAAATTATTACTTTAAAAGAGAATTATTTCATGGGTTTTGTTTTGAGAACAGTTTCTCCTAACTTAATTTACAGGGAAATATCTTTTACATAATACCGAATACAGATTCTCATGAATTGTTTTTGGAGCTCTCCCGACTTTTCTTTCATGGACTTCGTAATCTACATATTGCAAATTTCCTTCATATCATCACTACTAAGGCTGAGTTAGGCTACACCGAGGCGCAAATTGAATCTTTTATTGTTGGTAGCTATCAGGTGCCCGTCCTTCCTGAAGGGGAGCCTCTATGGGCTTTTTGTGTCTTAGCTGACTTTAACTATGCCGGAGACACATCACAATTGAAAGCTAAGCAACAATATACAGAATTAGCAAGAAACCAGTTTTCAAATTTGTGCTGGCCTCCAGTAAATTTGAAGGCCTCAGAAGGTCTACCCTCTGCTTCAGATATTTTTCCTAAGAAAAATCCAGTTCCTGGATTCATTCACTTTGACGATGTTCCAGTTCCAATCGATGGGTTTGTTCAAACAGCCTTGGAATCAGCGATGTCATATAAGAATAAAGACATTCTGTGTTTGGAAACTTTGGAAGGTCAATCTTCTAAAACTGGCAGATTAGGAGAGAAGATAGCTTACAGATACTTCACCGAGAAGCTAAGTGAAGAAGCAGTGCAGTGGGTCAATAGAGATTTTGAGATGGGATTACCCTATGACTTGATCATTAAGAAAAAATCTGAAACGGTATATGTAGAGGTCAAAAGCACCATTTCTGCATCCAAAAACTGGTTTCCAATTTCAAAAAATGAGTGGCAGTGTGCCATAGAGAAGGAAGAATCATTTATCATTGCTTGGGTGATATTGTCCAGCCAAACAAATGCGAAGATTGGCATCTTGAAGAACCCTGCGAAACTTTGCCAACAGAATGTGCTGCAGCTTGCTTTAATTCAGTCACCAAACTCTATGAACCTCACTGAAGTGCCTTTGCATGATTAGCATTTTCTCAAACAAATTACAATGGTAGGATGATTCAATGTGATTTGAGATGAAGTTATATATTGAAGATTGCTGAGCTCAAAGTTGGCATACATTGCAGGAAATACAGTAATGAAGAATCAAGAATATAGAGGGGAGTTTGACTATGTAGTAAACCTCATGAAGATGTTCTGATTATTGTAATAGAAAGATACTTTAGAAAAGTAGTAAGAAAACTGTCCAAACAAAACCTTAGATTAATGTAAATATCAGTTGTCGACATGTAACCTTTTTTTAGTTTGTAAATTAATGTACATTTTTCCATATCCTATATTTTACTTTTCATTCTGCATGCATAATTCACCAAAAAATGTTATATGACATGGAATATTCAACACAAAAAGGTGGACTTCAACTTCCAGATTGCTTGTGGTTCAGAGTCAATCCCCCTATTATGTAGGGCATTATGGGACGGCTTTCTATTAAAAATTTTATGCTAAAAAACTGCTTTAACAAGCCGTAAAATAGTCGTCCCAGACGAAACCTTCTTTTTTTTTTTTTAAAAAAAAAAAGACGAAACCTTAATGAGACTTCTGTTCGAATTAAAAAAAAAACAAAAAATCCCAATGGGTAATTCAGTATCCATCTATAATGGCTTCCTGTATTGTGAAAGTGAATCAAGAAAGGCTGTTTAATTAATAGTGTAGTTGAAGGAACATGCTTGTTCCTTTCTTTCAAATATGAAATTGAAGATAGCTATCTAAGTAATTTAGTAAATGCTATAGCTGATCAGTGCAATTACAGCTAATTCATTCCAAATAGTTCAAAAGCCAAAGAGGTTGGACGCTTACAGACGCAGGGGAGAAGGAATTGAATCGTCCTTTCTTCAAGCACTCGCTGATTCCCCTCCACACGAGCAAACGACTCCATCGGCCTCCGATCACGAGAAAACGACTCCGTCGGCCTCCGATCCCGGCCACCGATTCCAGTGAACAGAACTTGCCTCCGTGCGAACGGAGCCCAGTTTTGTGCGAACGAGGCTCTGAGTGCGATCTCAGAGCCTCAGCCGCTTGATCCACTTCATTTGTACGATCGTCTATTCGTCTTCGTTCCGCCATTTGAGCAAAAGAGAAAGGGATATGTTTAATTATTTATTATTAAGAGAATATTGTTAATATTAGATAAAAATTATGATTTTTATTACTAATAATAATTGTTATAAATTTCTAATAACGGAAAAGCATGTGGCATCTTCATCAAATTAGGTGATTTGAAGGAAGTCTCGGGGCTGATACGGTCCCCCGAAGTCCTCGGCAATCGAGTTAATCCGGCCGAGTGGATCGAAGACTCGAAGAACATTTCTGAGATTAATTCGCTCTCACATACTCATTATCGTCGATTTATTCCTGCCAAGTATATCCAAAATGATAAGCGCACTCCCCTACCTTATCAATCTGAAAATTTATACGAACATTGTTGTTTTGAGGGATGATTTTTATGATATGAACAAGTATTCTTATCATGGAAATTTACATTTATTTGCACTGGCACATTAGTTCTCTTAGTTCCCAATTGATTAACTGATTAAGCTATTTCAAAAATATTTATGAAGTTTAAATTCTTAATTATTTTTTATTACTTAACAATCTTTAAAAACATATTTTCTAACTTCTATTAATCAATTTGAAACTAAAAGAGAACTTCTATTAAAAATATTTTATAACTTCTATTAATCTTTAAAAACATATTTCAATACATTTTAAGCTATATTAAAAATATTTACAAAGTTTAAAATTTATATTTATTTTTAATAACATCATAATCAGTTAATCAATTGGGAACTAAGAGAACGATTAGATGAACAGAAACCCAAGCTGATGTCTATCTCAAGAGAATGGAGGCAATAAGTTAAAAATGCTATCGTTAACGATAAATATTATGTATGGTAAACGCACATCTTCTTTCTTAGAGAAATAGAATATTACAATTTCTGAAAGATAATATCATTATGTAGAGTAGAAAGATAAAAAGGAAATTTGAGATGCCACCAACCTAAACAATTACTATAAAATAATATTTCTCTTTTCTCATTACTTTGGGTACTTGGAGTTTAGTATTTTCCAACATAGGGGTGTAAGTAAGACCAATTGGCGTGCTAACGGGCATATAACTCAAGTTTATATTGTCACGAGCTTGAGTACAGCTCCTATATTAAACGAGTTTGAGCTGGAGCTTTATGATGCTCGGTTCATTTGCTCACTAGTTGATTTGATTAAATAATCCCTATTTTTACTCAAATATTTCCCAAAAGATTAAGAATGTCATGACGCATCTTTTTTTCATGTTTTAGATTAAATCCCAAGATCATGATCGACTCATTTAGAACAGGATAAATAAAAATCATTGCTCAAATTTTGCTGCGAGTTGCAATCTTCTTATTATTCTTCTTCAAATGTCGCAGGCCTAATTACGGCGTCCATTTCTTCTTCAAACAATGTTGTTGTTGGTCCAATCAATGACTTCTCCAACAAACTCTCGTCACAACATCCTCTGCTCACTATCATCAAAACATTGAATAACAGTGAGCTCATGTTATGACTTACTCACCATTGTCAGCACATTCTCCACCAAACTCTCATTGTAACTTCCTCATGATCATTCTCAGAGACCTTGAACTCACAAGTCAAGCTCAAGACATGTTTTTTAAACAATGAGCCGCCATGAGGTATGCCAATCACAAACTATCTCTTTCTTCTTCTTCTTCTTCTTCTTCTTCTTCTTCTTCAAGCACCATTGTCATTGATCCCATAAGTGACTTCTCTGAAATGCTCCCATCACAACTCCTCACAAGCACATCAGACACTCAAGTTTCAAACTCACAAATACATCAGATACTCAAGTTTCGAACTCCAAACCTCTTAGTTGGTAGTCAAAGATGTCAACAAAGTTATCAAGGTGAGCTGCATGAGCATGATTTTCTTATTGAGCTGATCAAGAGTTGTTAGCAAATGATGATCCCTTTTTTTTTTTTGACAAATCTAATAATAGCACTATGTTGGCCAACTCTACTAGTTTGGACATCATGTTCATTTGGGATTATTTTTTATTTTTTCTCTTACATGAAATTATATATATTTGAAAATTTTGTTTTTCTTTATTTGTAATATATATATACAATTATATTTTTTTCAGCCAATATATTTTGATTATCAATATACCTATATAATTTTTTTTTTTTGTTTTTGATTAGCAAATATATTTTCTAATTTATTTTTGTTTCTACAATTAAATACCAATGACCATACTAGAAAAGTAGATATATTAGATCCTACCTATGTTAAAAAGGGAGGAGATAACCTAAAAAGGCATGGTTATAAGTATTAAAAATTATTATTTATATTAAATTTAAATTAGAATTTGATTATTCATAGGGTATAATGGAGAAAAAAATTCATGTAGTCGACCCTACATAGTGAGATAAAGACTTGTTGTTGTTGTTGTTGTTGTTGTTATTGTTATAATATACAATTGGTTGAAATTATTGGAGTTTATTTAAGTGCCTTGAGATATATGTTATACTCCAAAATTATGGTTGATCGAATAGGAATTTTTATGTTGTTAATAATTTCCCATTATTTTTGAGCGTCCAATCCCTTAATGTGTGCCTATTGCTCACAAACTTTGAACTATTTCATTAAGGTGCAAAAGAATTCTTTGTTAGCTAAATGGATGGTTAAATTGTAGGTCGGTTTGATATGTCTAAAAAAACTTATTTAGAGATAAGTTTGTTGATTTTTTTTTTTTTTGAGAAATTATATTTGTTATTTTCATACATATGTGACATTTAATCATAATAAGTAACACATAACATGATGCAGTGGATTGGCAGAAGAATCAGACATGCAAGAAGGAAATCCGAATCCAAGGAACAAACACAAGCACTAAGCATCAAATACCTTCTCCAACCAGACTTCTCCACTTCTATTACTATATATATAAAACATCACATACTATCAATTGATCTCCCTCCATGTCAATGTTCCTTTTGTACCTCTTGGTTAAACCCTAAACCCTTGCCAACGCTACTATGTGCCAACAAAGCCTTAAAATATAATACAAACTCTAACTTTTGGTCAACTTCCTTTTCCCCATACAAACCGTAATCTAGATATACATAAACCTTCTCACTTCACTTCCTACTAAACATATATAAGAACGATTTGAGCTGCTTCGGGTCATTTAATATTGTCGCCCCAATTCTAAAAGCAATCTAGATCAAGATAGGTCATGTCTTGCCTATCTCATTTCAACAATACAAAGTTTTCATAAATTTTCTGATTAAATTTATATTTTTTAACAAAAAATGAGAATAATTATTCACCCGTAAAAATTTTATCATGTAACTTTTTGTATGTTATAGAGACATTTATTCTTAACATTTAGATATTTTTTTAAAAATTTTACACCAAATTTTTTGAGAATTATGATATTTTAATTGAATAAAAAATAATATGGACTATAAAAAAATATTTATAATATAATTAATGTCTTAAAATAATATTTTATATAATCTCTTATTATTTAGTTATTTTATAAAAATGTGAATCTCTAATTCGTAAGGTTGTCTATTGCCACCGTTGAGGCATTCTGCCAAATTCTAAGATGAGTTTATTTATGTTTTAATTACTACAATGCAATGCATGATGTACTTATTGATTGAAATGTGAGATTTTAAAGAGATTTGGTGAGGATGAGGAAGTTCTATTCTGATGCTAAATGCATATTATGATGTTAAAGGTATATTCTGGTACTATATGCACATTAGAGTTGTTGAACTCTATCTGTTGAGAGGCATAAGAGTCAAAGTTATTGAACTCTATTTGTTGAAAAGTATTAGTGTTGGAGTTATTGAACTCTGATGTGATATCAAGCAACAAACCTGCAAGAACACAAGCTTCCTAAGCAAGAACTTAGAATTTTGATATAACAGTAAATAAGTTTTTTCTTTATATATATATGGTATGCTATGGTTCTGCTACCTTAAGCGTAAGTAAATCCAACTTTTAAGTAAAATATTAAATAAAACTAGTAGTAAGAAATGAGTAAAACAGAACGAGTGCGTAGAGCATGAGGCAATGTGCACAGTTGTATTGTCTGGTATGATGCTCTTCTCCTTATGCTATTGCAGCACTGCATCAGGTCCCTCCTGCTCAGAAAATTCATGGTCCACATGAATGATGGAAGCCTTTGGTGGATGGTAGGCAGTCATGTCAGAGACATTGAAGGTAGCAGAAGTGTGTATATGGGTGGTATTTCCACGATGTAGGCGTTGTTGCTGATGCGCTGAAGAATTGGAATTAGCCCAAGCTTGCAAGGGTTGAGTTTTGAATAGGTGCCCACCGAAATATGTTCTTTCTACATGCGGAACATGATAGGGTCACCTGGATTAAAGATCTAGATTCGATGGTGAAGATCAACTGCTTTTTTTGTATGCTGCATTGGAAGTAATTAACTTGTTCTGGACCTTTTGCAACACATCAGAGTATTGATTA